CGCCTGACCATAAAAGCTGATAATTTATGCAGCGTTCTGTTGAATTGCCACAGATATGTTGCAATTAAAATTAGAGTTCCACGACTGTGTGGAGTAGCAATGTTTGTTCTCATCTAATTAAGTTGTAAAATGTCTTGTTCTTTTTTATTGCTATTGACAGAAGTCAGGGAGGGGAAGGAGAGAGGATGGTGAGGGGGACTATGTCTATTGTTGGTAATAAATGCTTAATTTGACATTTTAGATTAGGGAAACTAAATAAACATTTTATGAAGTTCTCTAATCAAAGCGTGTAAAATTTGATTGCCTATTGTGTATAAAATTGCAAACAATGTTAACGCCAACTACTGCCGTTAATTTTACATTGGGAAATTGCATTTTTATTAGATTGATTGTTCGTGACGGAAACCTGAACAATTTGTTTAGTCCAAACTCAGAGATGCCTATTTTATTTATGCTCAGGAATAGATGCACACACGTTATGCCAATACTGGATGGATATACTAACACACAAATTGGTGTACTAAATAATGAGCGTAGAAACGCATAAAATTGCGAAGAAACGAAATGTACACAAATTGATGTGTTTACCAACATTTTGAGAACTATTGCTATTTTCAGATTTCAAAATAATAGTGAATGTATTTTCACTATTATTTTGAGATAATTTTCTCCAACTTTTGCCCAATAAAATTATAAACTACACAATATTCGTTTACGTTTTATGTTGCAACTATGGAACACATACTCTTCTTTCTTTTTCGAACATTATTCGAAATATTGAAATTCGAGCTACTGGCATGTATAGGAATATTTCGAATTGTAGTTTCCCTCGCTTTTTACCAGAAGGGAATAATAAAGAAAAATGAAATGAAAACAAAATACTGTTCGTACAAGAAACAACAACGAATTTCAGTATCAAAACAAAACTAAAACTGATTACCAAAACAAAACATATCAAAAAATATGCCCTCGGACCATAACAACAAACGGATCGCAGGAGAAGGCCAAAAACAAAGCATTCCAACCGGTCAAGCCACAACAAGAAGAAGATTTGTGACGATGTCGATGACGTTGGGGAAGAAAGTAAGCGTTCCCATCAGCATTGACTGAAAAGGAAACTGAAACCAAAATATAATACCAGCCAGTCCGGGCCATGCCAGACCGGGCGGACAGACGGCAAAGTGTTACGTAGGCAACAACACAACACCGCATACCCATCGACCGTACCGTGTGCACCTTACAAACGAAGCCGTTGGCATACGGCTGTGTTCGTAAGTGCGTGCATATGTATGCATAGTAATGTGTGTGCGCGTGTGTTTTGGCCAGCAACAACAGCAGCAGCAGGAGTTCAAGAGAGGGAGAGGTAAATGAGCAACGATTTTTCGATTCGACGTTACGGTACAGTACAGTTTGTATGTTTATGGCAAAATGTCAACAATTTTTCAAACGTCAGTTGATTGTTTACTATTATGGGTTTGTTTGTTTACTTCATTCGGCTCGGCGTTCCCCCTCCCGACGCCTTGGCCACCGTATCTCGGCCACAGTATCTGTGCATGTGCCCTTACCCCAGATCCATTAAGGAAAAGTGTTGTGTTGCCCCGAAGTTTGTTGGGGCAAAAAGAGGTTTTGTGTTTACTTTTTTTTTATTCAAAGGTAAATAAAGTAATTTTGGAGTCAGGTTTCTTCAAAGCTTCTTTGGTATGCCTTTTATCGGGAGATCGAGTCGAGTCGTCAACAATCAGTCCAACACCACACCATCATCGGCAATACCTTCGTCATCGTCATTACCACCATCGAGTCATTATCAAAGGAGATTGCTTTCTCATTGGCCTAATGAAACCAATCAGTGCCCTTCACTTGTTCGCCAGAAAACAGCATTCAATTTGAATTTTAGGGGATGTCGATGACGACGTCGTCGTCGTTCCATTGGCAACCGAAAAATCATCATTGTCATTGCCATTGCCATCGCCATCTGCGCCAAAGTAGTTGATGGAATTTTAATCCTCGGCATGTTTATCGCACATTTTAATCTAACAAATCCCAAATTTGTAACACTCATTCGGTGGGTTTTCAATGGCACAATGTACCGGCATTAGGATGTTCTCTCTTTTTTTCAAAATTCATTTGATTTGTTTTCTTTGAACCGCCATTTGAAGTGTGTATTGTTGTTGCATTTAGGCAATTGTTTGAGTGTTGTATGTCTTGATTCGTTATTGTGGCTTCACTCAAAAGGCGAAAATCAATTTTCCCTGCGAAGGGAAATACGGGTTCAAGTGATAAATTCGACGCCTTTCCTGTCGATGATAACACTGATCGGGATTGGGAAATCGTTGTGTACTTATGGTGGCATGTAACCACACCAGAGATGCTGTATGCATTTTGCATAAAATGAAATGTTGTTATTTTTATTCATCTTTATCGTGCACTTCATTAGGTTCTTGACAAAAATCAATATAGGAAAGAAAACACAAAAGTTGAATTATATAAATTAAATTGTATTATATAAATTAACGACGATCATTTTGTGATTCTTTAGAACATGCACAAATATACATGATTTAACTCATCCACTGACATCGAATATGAAGCTGAGATTGTATTTCTCTCGTTGTTAGTGACTAAGATGGGACATAACAAACACGGCAAATTTTTACATACTTTTTAACATATTAATATCTCAGTAAAACCAGGCATTTTATTATGAAAGTCTTCTCTTTAGAAATGTTATAATTTACTTACTGAAATGTATAGTTTATAACAATTGATATTTATGGGAAATTTGTATGTTGAAAATACCAGTCATAGTATTTTAGTTAATTCCCCCTTTAACACTTCTTCAGTTCGAAACGTTGGATGACTGCAATGAAAATATGAGTGAAACTAATCACATGTGAATATTTGTTAGATAAAATATTACTAAAGTGTAACTAAACAAAAAAAGGCTACACTCCCCTGCATTCCCTCGGTGAAAACAGCCAAGAAACAGTTTCTAATTACAAGCATATCACACATACCGAATATTCACACCGAGTACGTGAATATTCGATATCAATAACTATCAATGATATTCTATTGAAGCGACCACGACCGATCGACCCGACCCTCCATTGCTTAGAAGGCTGTTCGAAGTGTTGTTGAAAACACAGATTTCCTTTTTTATTCTTTGGCTGCAAGTGAATGTTGATGTGGTTGTTGTTTTGTTACTGCTCGTTTATTCATATCGACAATCTGAAGGAGGAAATTCTACATTTACCAAAAACACAAAACGTGACCGGCATACGGAACACAAATCTGGCTATGCCGAAATTGTTTTTGTTTTCTAACATAGAGACGTTGTCTATTCATATTTTTATATGGTCGTATTTAATTTTTAGCCGTTACAACTTTCAATCTTTTTGTCTATTTGTGTGGCTGCAACTTTCAAAAAACAGTTTGCTGTTGTGTTCTTCTTTTCGCTGGAAATGCACAGCAAGCAACACGAATAAAATGGGAAAATGGAAGAGAATGACTCCAATCTAGTAGTGCCTCCAATCCTCCAATAAACTGTACTTGGACTTTTCTTTTTTCCTCGCGAGCACTCTCTCGCACAATGGTCTAACTAACGAAGACGGCAAAGCGAAATAGGGGAAAGAATTAGTTGGGCAAAAATTCATGTTGCCAACCAGGCAGCCATGTAGCGGTTGGTGGATGGCTGGCTGGCTGGCCTCAGTGCAATCTTTTGAAGGGAGTTGTGGAAAATTCATTGTTTTCAGCTAAAAACACCACTTTTATTGGTAACAGTTTTTGGCCAAAAACAGCTGAATCAAACACAAAAACATACATGTAGGCCTGCGTTCTATTCAGGCCATGTTAGGAGTAATACATGAATGTGGCTTTTACAACCGGCCATTTTTCAATGTGATAACCCCACTCTCCGTGTTGTTTGGTGCGCTCACAACAACGACAATAACAGCACCGAGAACAGTAATAACGACTGAACAAAAACAAAAAAAAAAAAAAAAGAGAAAGGGAAAACTGTGTTTTTAGTAGAAAATTGACAAGAAACAACAACAACCATAGAATACAAAACAGAAACAGGCTGAAAACAGTGCAAAGCCCAGCGTAGAAACCAAACCAAACACAGGGAACACAGAACAGAACACAACCCAAACAAACCATTTTACCAATGTTTAGGTCACTGAACCGAAATGGACGGTGGGTAATATTTTGTGTTAACGTTTTCCCATTCTTCCCGTTTGTTTTGTTTTTGACGCCTCTGCTGCTGCTGATGCCGCCGCCGTCACCACTACCGCCTTTAAGCAGTAATAAAACAACAACGAGAAAGAACTGCAGTGGCATTGGCTCACAGCAGCAGCTGCGAACGTCCAACTACCAAAGGGAAATACGAATCTGACCACGGCCAAAAAGTGTTATTAATAATGGACGATGAAGGAAAGAGGAAACGACCAGAACTGTTTGTTCATGGCATGGCCTGGCCTGGCATACGTAATGAATGGCGATGGTGATGACGGCAGCGGTGGCGATGATAATGTTGGTCCGTCCTCGTACTCGCCATCCTTTACTTTCTTTCCTTCTTCTCCAATGTTTATTGCATCTACTTTTGAAAATAAGATATCCCCAACTTTTTGGCTGCTTTTTTGTTTTGGCTTTCGATCTTGGCAATTGGAAAAGGGAAATTGCAACGAAAAATTATCGTTTTTCCATTAAAATTATGTTTATCTAATGGCTATTTGTGTTTTTCTTGTTCTTCTTTATTGCAGATTCCACAACGACGACGGCGGCATTGGTGTACTAAAATCACAAAAATAAAATAAATTTTGTAAAAAAGTGAGAAAAGAAAAATTTTATTTAATAAGAAATTAAGAAATAATCATAAAAAGCAAAACCCGGAAGTTTTTGCCCAGAGAAAAAAGTAGCAACAAATCGGAAAAAGCAAAAAAGAATTTATGTACGTACGAGTATAGTTTCATTTGTTTTGCCAAGTGTTTTCAATAAAAAATTCGTCACCACGGAGTCCTGGGATTTACATAGTATGGACCTCAATATGGATATATTACCGAGCGGGAATATTTTCAGCGAATTGGAACGCATCTGTACAACCGGTTATTTTTCATCACAGCCATCTATTGAGGATCAATGGCAACAGGTAAGAATACGCATTTTATTTTCATTTCTTTTTTAATTATTGGAATTTCATATCTAAAAGAGTTAAAACATGTTGAACTATTTGAAACTTGAAACTGTTGGATAATAATTTTGTAGAGAATAAACCACAGATTATTCGATAGTCGACGTATGTTTATAATATGGAGGTGAAAGAGGCTCATAAGTTAGTTTACCCCCCCAGGTGACACAGCCGACATTTTGAAATATTTAAGCTCCACTATAACTGAGCATGAGCAAATTAAGATTAGTTACATTATATGTAACTAATCTTATTCAAATGCATTCTAGGTTATGTCCGAAATTTAATATAATTGTTGGCTTATTTATTATTCACTTAGATATATTTTTTCTGAAATTCTTTAATTCTTTTGCGGAGGTTTGGATCTGATCGATTTAAAAATCAATCTCAATGATTTGTTTGACAATTTCCCTCAACAAATGCATTTGTTTTAGAGAACTTCGTGGAAATAGGTTAAGCAAATATTACTTGCACGTCTTCTCAAACCAAATCTCAATTAAATACATATGCTTAAATGACTTCTTCTGCTTTCCCTCGGCCGTGGTGCATCATTCAATACAGAAAGACAGACCGACAGACAGACTTGTGGAACGAAGCTTAAGTAAATTCCATATTTTGTGTATACATAATTCATTTTGGAAATGTTAACACTTGAAATTAACACTTTATTCCCATGGTTGGCGGAGAGGATGGGCCGGACGGACCGATAGAGTAAATCATGCATGCAAGCAAATAGAATGAATTACTGGTTTGACTGTTTTGGGTTTATTTTGAATGCATTTGTTTTTGTTTGTTTGGAGCAAAAAAGAAAAATAGGTTTTGTAATTTGTTATAATATGTCCCCCCCTAAGATACAAACCCGACAAATAAGAGAGCAATTGGAAATGGGCCAAACACTCAAATTGGAAATGCAATAGTTTATGTGTTCCAATGCTGCAGGAGAGGGCAGAGGTGGCCTGACGGCGACCTTTTCTCGGCATATTGAAGCTATTTGAATTGTAATTATAATTTGCTACTGTTGTGTCTGGGAAAGAGGAGACAGAATAGACATTTTGTTGGAGGAGGATGGGCAAATTGGAAAACATTCTACAATAAAATAAACGACAAATAAGTAAACAAACAAACGCCCGAACGGAAGTCAACGGAAACAAGAAAAACATCCGCTATTTTACGCTCATTAATTATGTTGGTTCATTTTCCTTGTTATTTTTACAACTACACCAAACAAAAACAACACAATTGTTGTGTTCGGAAAAAGTTTTTCTTTTCCTCTCACTTTGGCTCGCTCGCTATTTGTTTACATTTCTATTATGAATAATTGAAACATTTAATAACAGTACGAAAATATATTGAATTTTGCAAAAAAAAAGATGTTAACATAGACATAGCCACTGGTAATTTGTAGATTTGTTTCTTGGGAAACCTGAAGAACATAGCAATTAGTGTTTCTAGAAGAAAGAATAAATTGTTGTGGAATAAAACTGGGGATTTATACGAACTAAAATTTTAATTTTGTTTTGGGAATTAAAAAAAAATGTGTACTAGCTTTCCAATTTTTAATTTTTATTTGAATAGTTATCTTTTTATTTTTTGTATGTATGGATCTCGATCGTTTTCAGTTTGGGAAACAAAAAAGTTCATGCTTTACTTTAAGGTATCTTCTCTATATATATTTTACTTACATTTCAATAAAAATTAAAATATGTAATTAATTATCGTGTTTAGAACACACCTGATTGGGGACTATAATATATATATATAGTTTTTTTTTGAGTACGTCATTACTAATAATCAGTCTAAAAAGATTTCATTACAAAATAGCTTCATCTATTTGTGGACATTTTATTTGTGTGAATCAGCTTTTGCTTTACAACTAAGTTAATATGGGAGCTACTTGCAGTTCCTCCTGTTCTCCTGCAAACACTCAGTTGATAATTAACTCGTATGTCGATGTTGTTCCATATGTAATTTATAGATTTGACGATAAGGTCTGGTCAACATTTCTACAATGATGCTTCCAAGAGTGTAGCATCTTGGCCAGCAACTACACACACATCCACACACATATATATTGCAAATATGACTTTGTTGTAATTGTAATTGCTTTTGTATGTTAATAAATTCCAAAGCATATTTTTGTGGAGTACACTTCTCGTTTATATGCAAATGGAACAGAAACCATGGCCAACGATGCATTCCTTCCCTGTGAACGAGTGTATGTCCGTGTGTGTGTGTGCATCCCTTTATCTTTTTCTTAGTAGCACACAAAAGAAAAGGATGCTGCAATATCTTAAGAACAATTTAAAAATGTTGCCACAAATGTGTTATTATTTATATATATGTGTGTGTGTGTGTTTTTATATATCTTGGAATCCATTTCATATAAAACTATCTCTCGAGCGAATATAAACATACAAACGCATGCATGTACGATGTACATTCACACATCTACGCCATAGATTGTTTCTATTTATGTATTTTCACACATATTTTCTTTTGTGCAACAACAACTTTGAAGAAGGATAAATACTACACACTTACTCATATGTGATTGTTTGCTCCCTCCCGGATAGCAGCAACTTGAAAATATATTTGCGGAGGAAAAAAATCTTCAAATAAACATTTGTTTTACAATGTGCGTACATAGTGCCAAGAAATTATACAGTTTGTAGTTTGTTTTTATTATTCGGAAATATAAACAAAAACACACACTTTTTTTAATTGTTTATCTACTCGTGTGAGTAGCTGATGATGCTCCTCCACAGTTGCTGGCTGTTGGTATTTTGATGGCAAATGTGTTGCTGTTGCCGAGGCAATGCCGCCTCCGTTGGCTGCCTGCTGCTGCTGCTACTGCTGAATGATACTTTTGCCAATGTTAAAAAACAAAAACAAAAATGTTGCAACTTTCGAGTCAATATTGCAGTTCATAATAGAGTCTCTGGCAGTGTTATGTGGCAAGTGGTAAATATTTTGATTTTTTCTCTCTCACTCTCGTGATTTTTATTATTGTCGAAATTTCAATAGGAATATTTTGTAAAACTACTATTAATTGAAGTGTTCTATAAAAATTAGTTGAAGGACCATAGCCAGCATAGATAAGCAAAACAATTTGCCATAAAAAAATAACTATGTATAAATTTGAATATGGAAATCTAAATATAAAAAATAAGTGGAATTGAATGTAATAAAATCAGTTTTATTGTTTACAATGGAGGGGAAATCAATTCCAAAAAAGTGAAAAACTGTTTTAGAGGAGCAAACCAACCAATAACTGGCATGGACAAGAGTCAATTTTATGGAGGTTATAAATAATGACAACAATTGATTGTATCCTACATTAACAATTCAGTGGGTCAGTAAGGAAGAAAAAGAATTTCTAGGAATTTATTTTTTATAAATTTATACATAAGGACGAACATGTTCATAACTCATTTGCAGTCTATGTTTGTTTGTGTTTGGTATTTTGTCCTGGAAAATCTCCCTAGACTGGTGTACTTCAATGCTGATCGTCATCGCATCGACGTGATGGCATCGACATTTTGAACACCCACCAGCATTGTGCACAGCTAGTAGCTGCTGAATAACCCAGTGTGTATATATTTTCGTACACTTTGTTTGTCTAAACACTTTTCCACATTACGAGCCTGGCAATTCGGAGGTTTTATATCACATTGGAAATAAATAAACAAATTGGCAAGAGAGGGAGGGAGGGAGGTAGGAAAACAAAAACATACAAATTCTTCATATTAATAAATAATAATAGATTTTTTCCTCGCATTGTTTAAATACAAACACTCACATGCTTGATATTGCGTTCGAATATCTAAATAAAGTGAAACGAGAAATTTTTGGAGGGAGGTATTGATAGCTGGACAGACGGACAGACATACAGACCACCAGTCGTATTGGACAGACAGACAGAAAACATAATCACAGCGGAATGCTAATAAGATCATCTTCTCCAAAAAGCGGTCACTGCTTGAATTTCAAACGTTTTTCAGCATTAAATCATCGCGAGCAAAAGTTTGTTGTGGCTTACGCTCCGGTGTTTTTGCGGTGAATCGTAGACGGATGAGGAGGCAGAAGGTTGCAAATATTGCTTTGTGGATCATAATTAAATAAATAAACATTGCAAAAAACGAAACCAAACGAACGAAATCGAAAAACAAAAACTCTAATAACACTCCACGGAATTGTGGCCAAATTAGAATTATTTAGAAATTCAAAACAGAATTCTAAGGCAAGATATTGTCGATCTACATACATATGTGCGAATGTTTGTAGGTAGTATGTCTAGGTGGATTCAATTTAGCTTTGTGGTGGCTTTTTATTATTATTTTTTCAGCTGTTTTTTTATTTTATTTTTTGTTATCAAGCGAATACGAATATATGTTTGAAAATAAAAGTATGATTAATCCAATTGAAATACCAACGATATTAAATATAAAAAAACACCAGCAGCAACAACAAACGTCATTAAAAAAATACTTCGAGGCCATAAATTATTCTTGAAGAAGAGGAAGAATTTTTTTGGTTTTAATACAAATAATAATAATAATAATATTGTTAAAGATTGTTTTATCATTTATTGGAATTCCCTTCTCCAACAACTTAATGTATTCTCGCACTTTCGCTCTTTCTCTCACTCCTCGTCATGCTGATATTGTGAACTTCATTTGTTGTTGTTGTGTTCTTTCATTGGTTGCTGTGTGAACAACTTTACAGGGACAAGAACAAAAAAGTGAACTGTAATGCGTTTATTAGTGGGCGATAAGAGAAAATGCTGGCCGATTCTTGGTCTTGGTCTATGTTTCGGTTCAATGTTATCTCTCTGGAAGTTTTTTTATGGAATCTTTTCTGTTGTTTTGTTTTTGCTTCTTCTACTTGCTTTTGCATTTAATTATAGCCTCAGAATGGTGATAAGCAAAAGCCAGTCATCAGCCCAAGCAACAACCCAGCCA